CATAAGCAATTATATGCTATGACTCAGAGAGAATGGTTACAAAATATACAGAGAAGTTTGAGCTCTTGTCAGGGAGGTTTAGGGATATTTCTGCAGCAGGACTGGAAGGAAACTTCTTGAAAGGCCTAAAGCCCGACATTCGAGCAGCCATCCAAATTTTGAGATTGCAGGGATTGAGTGAAATGATGGAACTCACCCAAATGATAGAGGATTAGAAACATGTGAAGAAAACCAGCAAAAGCGGCAACACCGGAGAACACTTTAAAAGCTACGACACCGAGGTCCTAGATGGTGTCATTTCTGAAAGAGACGTTGAAGTAGAAGAATACAGGAACCCGTACCGTGAGTAATTTCAAGTGCCTCATAGCTGCAAAAGTGCATGATAAAAGATCAAAAAGAGTGTGTTATTGTTGTGACTAGAAGTATGCCCCTGGACACCGCTGCAAGGAGTGCACCATTCCGATTCTCTTAATTCAGGAGGTGGATACAAAAATTAAGGAATCAAAGGAGGCAATGGAGAAGGAGCATCTACATTTGGATGTGACGGATGTGTATCTTAATTTGTTGGTGGGATTTACTCCAAATCACATCATGAATGTGAGGGAGTGGATCGGGGAATAGCCGATTGTGGTGTTGATGGATAACAGATTAACGGGGCCACATATAACTTCATCTCAAATCTGGTTGTGGAAAAGCTAGGGTTGGAATTGGTGACTATAGGGAGCTTTGGTGTCATGATGGTGATAGAGAAGATGGGAGAAAGGTTGGGGAATTCGTAAGAGATTTGTTTTGACACTACTTAGCCTGCAGGTGATGGGAGGCTTCTTTCCGTTAGATTTGGGCAGTACAATGTGATTTTGAGGATGAAGTGACTGCTAACACTAAGGGAGATGAAAGTAGATTGGAAGTCCCTGACGATGGAATTCTAGGTGGAGGGTAGGAAGGTGATGCTGAGAGGAGATGCTAGTTTATGCTAAACTATGGTGTCGCTCAAAACCATGGTCAAGTCGATACGGGGAGCAGGACTGGGCTACTTGGTGGTGTTGCAGAGCGTTAAGGAGATTTGAGATTTAGAGTTGGCAAATTTTCCTGAAGGGGTCTAACAGCTCTTACAACCGTTTACGGATGTCTTCCAACAACCAAGTGGGTTACCTCTCCTGAGGGAGCACAAGCACGCTATTACTTTAAAGGAGGTTTCCACCATCGACGTCATACCATATTAGTACCCCCAATTTCAAAAGGATGAGATAGAAAAGCTGATCCGAGAAATGCTCGGGGCAGGGATTATCAGACCTACTGTGAGCCATTTTTCCAATCTCGTTCGTTGGTGAAAAAAAAGATGGTAGTTGGAGATTTTGCATAGACTATCGGACATGAAACAGGGAGACAACGTTGGACAATTTTTTTGTTCCTATGATTGATGAGTTATTGAGATTTATGGCGCGCTCATTTTCTCAAAATTTGGATGATCAGAATGAATTCAGTGGATGTGTACAAGTTCATTATGAGTTCTTAGTTATGTCATTTGGTCTCACCAACACCTTAACGATTTTTCAGTCTCTCATGAATAGGGTTTTTCAACATTATCTCCGGAAATTTATTCTGATTTTCTTTAAAGACATCTAGTCTACAACAATACAAAAGCAGAGCATGTGGGGCATTTAATGACAACCCTAGAGACGTTGAGGGAGCACCAATTGCATGTCAACTTGAAGATATGTTCTTTTGCACAGTTGCAGGTGGAGTACCTAGGACATGTGGTGACCAGAACAGGGGTAGCATTGGAGCAGTCCAAGATCGTGCTATGGTTGATTGACCCTTACCAAGGAATTTGGAGTTAAGAAAATTTTTGAGTTGCAATGGCTACTACAGGAAGTTTTTGAGAGGATATAACACGATAACATGACCACTGACTCAAAAGTTGAAGAAAGAATTTCAAATGGTGGCATGCAACGACAAAGTCATTTGAAGATCTAAAGAGGGTCATGGCTAACGTCACGATATCAACACTTCCAGATTTCATTAAACCATTTGTGGTGGAGACGGGTGCGTCGGGGTATGGATTGAGAGCAGTGCTCATGCAGGATCAACGACCAATTGCTTACTTCAGCCAAACTCTTATGACCAAAACGAGGTTACAGTCAGTATATGAATGAGAATTAATGACGATTGTCATGGCCATTCAGAAGTAGCAACCCTACATTTTTTTGGTCGGGACAGATTAAAGTAGTTTAAAGTATCTTCTGGATATAGTGACTGAGGAGCATTGGAGATGACTATCCAAGCTATTGCGGCATGATTTCGAGATTCAATCGAGGTATATTTCTAGATTGTTACAAGAGTTTCATGGGAGTGCAATCGAGGGATATTCAGGGGTACAAAAAATCTACAGCTGTCTGGCGGTAGAGCTTTATTCGGTGGGGATGCGCGGAGACGTGGAGGATATTGTGGTAAGATGTGATGGCACAAGTACTTGACCACAGTATTAGGAGGACTACAACCATTAGCATTATCGGGGAAGGTGTTGGAAGAAGTGACGATGAATTTCATCGAGGGGTTGCCACAGCCAGAGGGGTTCACGATGATCATAGTGGTCGTGGATCACCTAAGCAAGTGCATTTCATTCTCTTACGACTCCCTTACACTGCGGTTTCAGTCGCGGCGGTATTTATCCAGGAAGTGGCCCCTTTGCACGGGGTGTCGGAATCAATTATATCAGATATAGACAATGTGTTCCTCAGCCACTTCTGGAAGGAACTATTTAGGTTGCAAAAAGACACCTTAAATGAAGCACCGCATATCACCCCCGGACTGATGGGCAGACAGAGATGGTCACAAAGTGTGGACACATGCATGCATTGTTTTGCATTTGATACAGCGCAGCTACGGGTATAATACTTCGTACCACACCGCAACACAAACAATATCTTTCAAGAAATTATATGGGCGTGATCCACCTTACTTGATACAATATGGCATAGTATCACATGAGTATCCAACGTTGATCAGTAATTGGAGGAGAGGGATAGGATAATAGTAGAGCTCAAGGGCATTTACTGAGAGCTCAACAAATCCTGTAGAGGAAGGTAGACGAACACAAGAGAGAGGTGCAATTTGAACCAAGAGACATGGTCTACTTGAAACTGAGGCCCTACCGGTTGAAGACTTTGGCCAGGAGGAGAAGCGATAAATTGTCATTGTGATACTTTTGAGCCTTATGAGGTGACGACATGCATTGAGGTAGTAGCCCACATCAAATACACTACCGTCGACACTGACGGAGGTCTTGGAAGTGATTTTGGAGACATTAGAAATCGGAGGGGGAGCAAATAAGGTATTGGTTTAGTAGAAAGGACTGATAGACTATGAAGCAACATGAGAGCCTTACGAGGTGATCCACAAGCAGTTTTAATCTTTCCACCTTGAGGACAAGGTACATTTTTGGGAGGGGAGTATTGCTACGCCCGTAATAGGCGTAACAGGACCAACCCCTCTTGGACTAGTAGAAGACCACCCAATCGGCCCGCTCCCTCAACAGATGGGCCGATTGCCGCAACAGAAGAGTGGGGAGCAAGTGGGGTCCATTAAGCTCCGAATCACATACATAAGGAGGAATTGAGGGTGTTTGGAGGGAAAGTTTGTTAGGAAAGTTTTCAAATGTTGTGGGAGGATTCTGTTAAGGGTACGAACTAAGGGTTTGTTTTCTTTATCCATGTTTTGTTTGACCATCATTTTCTTTCTTCTTGTGGTGTTCCTAGCGACGTCTAGGGTGTGGGAGCGACGATTTACCTCTCAAAAAGTAGATCATCCTTGTATTTTGCTTGTTTTCCTTTGATTTCGTAAGAGCAGTCCTTGTTTGCGTTATTTCCACTGATCTATTGCGGTTTCGTCGTTGTATGTTCGCTGATTTTCGTTCTGAGATTTATCAGCTTCCTTGAATTTCATTATTTCTATAGCTCTTCAAAAAAAAGTATTTTCCGTAAACATCATGGTTTTGTACCCTTAATTACACTGACTTGGAACTTCTGCCTTTCCCCCTTGGAAACTTTGCTTTTTATGCATATATTTAGGATACCAAGGTGTTATTAGTGTAAATACCAAATTTTGGGTGTTGGATATTTAAAAACATAAGAATTGTGGGGTGCACATGTAAATTTCGCAAAAAATTATGAGTATCTCTATAAAAGATATAGGGATCGTAGATACAATTAGGTAAGCCATATTGCATGGCGCCGTTACAGGCAGCTATAGTTGAAGTAGCAGAGCCTACCATAGATCCATTTGAAGTAGTAGTTTCAATCATTGATGGAAAGTTGGCATCGCTTAGGTAATCAACACCACTATTGAATAATTGAGTAGTGATCGACAATTAGGAGGAGATGGGAATGTGTGAAGAGTAAGATGTGAGCTCCGTGTTATTATTCTCTACGTGATTCTATAGTATCGCTTTTTTGCATTTATATAAATTATACGAGTTATTTACATGCATCACCCAATTCCAATGTATTTACATGTCTAACATGTAAATTTTATCTTTTAAATTTATAACACCCAATTTTTTCATATCACATCAAACAAATATCATTTTAACTTTTAAATAGTAAAATATATGTTTTCATGCATAGGTAAGGCAGGGTGCATGTAAAAATAGAAGTTTAGGTGTTTGACATGTAAATACATAAAAATCGAGTGATATGTATGTAAATCTTCCAAACTATATATTTACTAGAAATTCATAAGAGATTTACTTTCCTACCTTAGCTTCTAAGCTCTTTTAGTTTTGCTGCAGGATGAATGGTAGAAAGCAAAATAATAAGGTGTTTTTATATGTAATCAGTGGAACAAATGTCATAGATAATGGAGACCTTTCAATTTCCAAGATTTCGTCGAACTTTTTCTGACTCAACATACAAGAAATGTTTATTTGTTCAATATTTCACAAAATTTGGTCACCTTCGTCCCCAATCTCCTCCCTCTTAACACGCCTGATAATCTGCCAGGTGGGCACGAACCTGGATGGAGGCCAATCCCAACCCACGATCCTGTCGTTCAGGACGCTGCTAATCATGCTCTGAAGAACATTCAAGCGAAGTCCAACTCTCTCGCCGCATATGAACTCCTCGAGATTCAACATGCCAAGGCAGAGGTAGTCATCTATCTGCTCCTTTCACATCGCTTCCCTCTTAGATGTTCCTTTTACTTTTATTTAGGGCAGTTACGCATATACCATCAAATTCCCAAGTATTTACATATCTAAAACCTAAACTTTACATTTTACATATATGTTTATACCACCCAGATATTTCACATCACATAAAAAATACCACCATTCCAACTTTAAAAAAGTGAAATGCACCTTTTCATGCACAGGTAAGGTGATATTTATGTGTGTAAAGACTCAAGTATAGGTGGTAGCATATGTAAAACTGTAAATAATTAGGAATTGAATGGTATGTATGTAAATCTTCCTTTATATTCATATTTATTTTCTTATTGAAGGTGATTGACGATCATGCGAAGTTGGAGTTGTTGCTCAAACTAAAGAGAGGTGAAAATGAGGAGAAATACAAGGTGGAAGTGCATAAGAATTCGGAGGGAGCTTTCATACTGAATCAGATGCAGCAGGAGCAGTAGATTCGCACCCACTAAATAAATATTCATAGACTTGTGTATGTTACTCCGCTTGAAAGATGGTTGCTCTCGTGCATTTGTGATGAAATCATGAAATGAAACTGTAATAGCTATGCTATGACTAATAATGTTGGAGGTTATTTGCTGAATTTCTCATATCTCAATATATCTGCTTTTATTTTTAATTGCAGAAGGATTTCCATTTTTAAAATTCTCACTCAAATATTGAAATTCTTTCGAAAACCCCTACTCTTTTTTTTTTAAATTTTTATGGAAGGGTTTGTTTGGGGGCAGTTGTAGTTGTTTGAAGCAGTTGTGAAGCTGCTGAAGAAGTTGTTTAAAAAGTTACGACGATTATTATAAATTTTTTTCTTAAAAAAAAGTCAGACCGCAACAATCTGTTAGCCACTGCAATTAGCTAAGTTTGGTGGGAATAGCTTTTTGTGAATGCAAACAATGTAGTTTTGTCAAACAGGAAAAATTGCGGTGCGACACCACACAGTGGCACCAAATGCACCCTAAATTTCAATTGTTTGATCGAGCATGAGTAAAGACATCGGTTTGGTATTTTAAAAGATTGCTGGTTTGATTTATAAATAGCAATGTTTTGGGATCTCAGCCTTTTGCATTATTAATCATGCTCTAATCATTCATGTTCAATTGTTATTATGTATTAATTTTATTTTATACAATCATATTAGGATCAATTTACACTTTTCCTTCCAAATAATTAGCAAACCATTTAAAATCGGTAGATTTACATGCCACTCAATTCCCAAGTATTTAGATATTAAACACCTAACCCTAAGTTTCACAACACCTTATTTATGCATGAAAAATGTATATTTCACATTTTAAAAATTAAAATAATGGTATTTTTGATGTGTTATAAAAGATTTAGGTGGTATAAATGTAAAAGAAAAGCATCGACGTGTTAAATATGTAAATACATAGTATTTAGGCGGCATGTGTAAATGCCCTTTTAAGCTTTTACCACTAATTATACTCAATGTGCATCTAAATTACTTCTAAGCTATTCTTAAACGAGCCTTGATTTCGTTCTAAATATGGAAGATTTACAAATATTCCACTTATTTCTTATATATTTACACATCAAACATCTAAACTTCAATCTTTTACATATATGCCACCTTATCTATGCATCAGAGGGTGTATTTCATCTCTTAAAAAGTTAAAATATTGATATTTTCGATGTAATATAAAAGATTTCGGTGGTTCAAGAGTAAGAAAATAAAATTTAGGTGATAGACATGTAAATACAAAAGAATTGAGTGGCACATTTGTAAATAACTCTTAAATATAATAATTTAACATTTTTGCCACGCTTAAAGCAGGTATTTATGATATCTTATTTAAGTGATGCCGAAGTTAGCTGCCTGGTAGTAGTTTTATGAAATCAACATTAATGCCTACGTTGCATCACAATTAATTAATTGCATGATACTTACGTTGATGCAATGTTTTGTTATCGTCTCGTTTAAGCCTAATTTTTCTGTGCGGACTCCTGACGCAGCTCTACATGCGGCGGAGGTTATTCCTGAGTTATTTCAGGTTATTTCTAGGTTATTTTCAATAATCCCGAAATAACCCAAGAATAACTCTCGGTCTTTATTTTTGGGTTCTTTCGGGATTATTGAAAATAACCTGAAAATAACTTAAGAATAGCATCCGCCGCACATAAAGCTACGTCAGGAGTCCGCACAAACATGCGCTCCTTGTTTAAATACCGCTGCATATTTAGAAACAATTTAAGGAACTTTAAATCTATAACAATTCATTCATTATTACGCATCCACCCTTTTTATCTTCTATTTGTAATCCATGATTTATTTTTTCATCCTTCTTCTCTTAAATTAAAATTGAAATGATTTCAGATTTTATAAATAATAAATAATCCAATTACAACATAAATTATTGTGCTGTACAGTTACACATCTTTGTCCATGTCTTATTATCTCACCCACCATTGAATCATGAGATGGAGAACCCACACATTGATTTACTAAAATTCTAATATTCTGACCCTGCTGTCATGATCACACATTTTAAAGCATTCAATTATTGTCCATATGATCGATTTATATGTACATATACCATATGATTTTGCTTAGTTTCAATCGGACCGGCAACTTTTATTAATATCTTGTCTTATTATTTTTCTGACCAAAAGATTATTTCTAATTTGCACTTTGGAATCTCTTCCTTTCGAATTGAAGGGAGAAATTCACATGCAAACCATGCAATTGTTATGAATTTATATTCCTAGCACCTATAATTTGATATTTGCATTTATAACAAACACTAAGGGTATGTTCGGGGCGGTGGTGGTGCAGTGTCACACTGCATTTTTTTCTGTACGATAATATTACGTTTTATTTACGTTGTCAAAAAAATTGCAGTTAAAAACTGTGTTTTCCTACCAGACTTGACTACTTGCGGTGACTATTATAAAGTAGCTTTTTAAACAATAGCTTTTTCTTCAGCAGCATCGGAGTAGTTTTTTTAAACAGTTTTTAACTGCAATCTCTTGGCTAAAAGTATAAATTACCTCCAACTAACATATTAGAAGGCTAGGAATTAATATTATTTAAAACGATTTGATTAAACTTCATATTTCCTTCGGGGAAATCTAAATACTTAACATGATTCTTATTCATTTATACATCTAACACCTAAAACTTCATATGTTTATTTATAATATTTCAATTTCATAAATTTATGCATTAAAAGTTAAATCACTTATAAAACTAAATTAAGTAAATTAATAGTGTAGATAGAAGATTTAATTAAACACATCATGTAATAAAATATAAAAAGATTTACACGCATACCACCCAATTCTTATGTATTTACAAATCTAACACCTAAACTTGAATTTAAACATATATATTTGTCATCTTTTATATATATATATATATATTTGTCATCTTTTATATAATATATAGCAAACTCAATAACTTTAAGAGGAACATTTTTAAAAATATATTTATTCCGACTAGTAATAATTAATACACTAATCATAGATTCTAAACACTAAAACACATAATTAATATTTTAATATTTACATAGTTTATTTATCACGTCCATTCCACCCTCCCTGCCTAATCCAATTCATTCATCTCCTCCACGATCAAGCTTTCCCTTCGCCTGTCTCCCCAAGCTCCACGTCGCCGATTTTCTCGCCGGCGGCGGCGATCTCCAGTGGCTTAAACCTATAAAACGTCGCACAAACCAGATAATACCCAAAGTTGAAAACTTGCAATCCGGCGACCAACCAGTAGTAGTAATCCAACCTTCCCCTGTTTATATCATTCTGCAACCAATTCCCCTGCTTCGTCTTCTTCGTAAACTCGCTGATTAACGTCACCATCAATGTGCCGCCGTAGTTCCCCACCGAAGCGGACAGCCAAAACAAAGCCGCCGCCGTGCTCCTCATGCTCTCCGGCGCCTGATCGTACAAAAACTCCATGTGTCCCACCGACGAGAACCCGTCAGCCAATCCATGGATGGCGTACTGCGGAACCAGCCAGAACACGCTGAGCTGACGTCCGGCAAGGGCTGCGCGGCGGCGATGGGTTTCTACAAGGGCGGCGGAGAGGTTGGAGAGGAGGGAGATGGCAAGGCCGATGGCCATGCGGCGGAGGTAGCTGATGCCGTTGGGATGGCCAGTGAGGCGGCGGGCGATGGGGACGAAGAGGCGGTCGTAGATGGCAAGGGTGAGGAGCATGGAGATGATGGAGAAGATGGAGAGAGTGGCTGGGGGGGGGGGGAAGGGGCTGCCGGGATGTGGAAGTTTCCGGCGAGGCGGCGGTTGATGGAGTTGGCTTGGATGATGGTGAAGGTGTAGTTGTGGGAGGCAGCGGTGATGAGGAGGATGCCTACGGACCAGATTGGGAGCATGCGGATGATGGATTTGAGTTCCTCGACCCGGTGGACTGTGGAGAGACGCCATGGATGAGGACGGCCGGTGGCGGAGAGGTCACCGGCGGTGGGAATTGCCGCGCGGTCAAAAAACCTGTTTTTTATGGAATTGTTTCGGTTATCTGTTTTGAATTCTGGCAGGGGAAAGTTGACAAAATGGAACATGTACATAAAGGCCACTAAGACTTTATGTATTTGGATATCAATCATTCATGCTTCAACTTCTACAGATATATTTTCTTATCTCGATTCCACGTTTTAGATAATACAATATTAATGGTTTTAATGTGATTTCTTAATGTTGATCTACCGAGGGTATGATATGATTCCAAAGATTTGAATTCTATGCATGTAAGTATAAAATTGTGTTATACATACATACATACATACATACATACATTCATACATACAAGTGTTTCATTCACAATAAAACATAGGTAAATTTATACACATAACACACAATTCTTATGCATGTTTCGGTTATCTGTTTTGAATTCTGGCAAGGGAAAATTGACAGAATGGAACATGTACATAAAGGCCACTAAGATTTTATGTATTTGAATATCTATCATTCATACTTCAACTTCTACAGATATATCTTCTTATCTGTGTCTGAAATGTCGATTCCACGTTTTAGATAATACAATATTAATGGTTTTAATGTGATTTCTTAATGTTGATCTACCGAGGGTATGATATGATTCCAAAGATTTGAATTCTATGCATGTAAGTATAAAATTGTGTTATACATACATACATACATACATACATACATACATACATACATACATACATACATACATACATACATACATACATACATACATACATACATACATACATACATACATACATACATACATACATACATACATACATACATACATACATACATACATACATACATACATACATACATACATACATACATACATACATACATACATACATACATACATACATACATACATACATACATACATACATACATACATACAAATTATGTGACATATCCGTAAATGCTCCATAGATTACAAACCACACAAAATTTAATATTTATTTATATAATAATTTAGTGTTTCATTCACAATAAAACATGGGTAAATTTATACACATAACACACAATTCTTATGCATTTACTTATCTCACCCCCAAATTTTAATTTTTACAAGTTTAACACTTTTTTTATGTCTGAAAAGATGTATGAAAAGGTGGATCACACATTTTCAAGTGCTAAACTCATAAAAATCAAATTTTGGGCGTGAAATATGTAAATTCATAAGAATTGAGTTATATGTTTTTAAAAGCCCCTAAAGAATATACATTGTTAAAAAAAAATAAATATATTGATTTTTTATGGAATTTAAAATTTAAATATTATATAAACAACCATAAAATTTTGATATTGTATATGGAGTTAAGAATTATTTTGTGATATAGAAATTATTATAATTCAAAACACATTCTACTATAAATATTAATAATTAAATAAATTAATTGAATCATATCAAACTTTTCACTTATGTTAGATTCAATCTAAGATAAAAGTAATATTATTTTTTTTATTAATTTTTCAATTATTACTTATTAGACTTATTATAAAAAAAAATTACCTATCCAATAATTTATCCTTAAATGATTGGAGACTATATAAAAATATCAAAATATTCTTCTCAATTATTTGTTCAGATCATTCAAATTTATAATTTTGACTCTGTGATTAATGTCATGTATTTTTTAATTAAATTTAATAAAATCAATAATTCAATAGTAACCATACTATTCTACCGAATAATTGTTCTATTATCTACAACATCCTCAGAGGAAATTCAACAAACAGCTTGCTTACGTCAAATGACCCGTGTGCAGAAGCCTCCCAGAAACCGAAATATCGGCATCAAGCTCCTTATCCTGATACAAAACTCCCGCATCCGCCGGCACGGCCAGCTTTCTCTTCCTCACGGCGGCGCCCACCACTTGTGCCAGTCGTGCGAACGGGCTCCCCCCCGGCTTCCTCCTTATATAAAGCCGGTACCCGACAACAAAGACGACCACCGATATAAACATAGCCATGGTGGGAATCCCAAACCCTAATCCCCAGCCCACGTTATCTTGTATATAGACCACAACCGTGAGGGCGAGCAGCAGTGAAATTCCCATGGTGAAGAAGAAGAGGTTGAAGAAACTCGAGCCGGTTTGGCGTCCGTTCGGTTGGGGTCGATCGAGTTCAAATTGCTCTGCTCCGAAGGCGACGACGCAGGGCCGGAGACCGCCGGAGCCGATCGCCGTGAGGAGCAGGGAGAAGTAGAAGAAAGCTTGTTGCCATGCCGAGGCTTTGCGGCAGGAGGGGGATCGGAGAGGGCAGGGCGGCGGCCGGAGAACGGGGAAGATGGCTGAGATGGTGACGCCTATCATGCCCTGTGCATAACATAACTGGATCATTTTGCATGCAATTTTGAATTTGTTTGTTTCCCAAGTGTTGCATAAAAATAATTATTTAGTGATGATTTAGAAATAATTTAATTTATATTATTATTTCAAATATCATGTTTAAATGTTATTCATATTATTAAGGTCTTGTTCTAGTTTAGCTTTAGTTTAATAAGAAAAAATAAATTAATATGAGGCTTATTATAAAAACAATGACTTAATTTTACATAGAATTTGTGTAGATTTATGGAGTTAAAAAAAAATTAATATTAATTTCTAATTATATTCAACAAAATTTACACACCACACAATTTTATTATGTTCAAGTATCTAGCACGTAGGCATTCATATTGGCATGCATATCACTTCAATCTCAATGGTACTAAAGTTTTATAAGTGCAAAAATCAAAATTTGGAGGTTAGATATATAAATACACAAGAATTGTGTGTTTTATATGTAAATTTTTCTGTTTTTTCGTTTGGCTTCAAGCAAGATGAGCTCCAGTTAGAAAGCTATTTATATGAAGTAGCCTTGTATTTTCTGACTAATTGAAAAAATATAATAGCCTCAAAATAAACCCTTTTTATTCTTTTCTTTAATTTAAATTTCAGCTTTAAATAAAATTAATTGTGCATGATAATTGAAAAAAACATTTTTACAGTTGCATCTATAATTTTTATTATTTTCAAATACTTTAAAAATCCAAAAAAATTATATTCAAACATTTAAGAAAATAAAATAAAAACAAACAGAACCATCCATTTCACCAGCAAAAAAAAAATGAACAGCTATAAATCATCGTAATTTTCAGAACAGTTCTCACTAGTTGATATATAATAGATCCGACGGTGATGGTCCAGAAACGGCCGGCGAAAGAGTCGGCGACAAGAGCTCCGATGATCGGCGTGAGGCTGGCCGTGCCGCCGAAGTTAGTGAGAGTGTTAGTGGCCTGTATTAGAGGAAGATGAAGCTCATTCTGAAGATACTGAATCATGTTCGCATTGAACCCCGCCGTCGCAAATCTATCACATATTTCATTTGCTACAACAATAAAATTACAATTTTTATCGTTTATAATTTGAAAAAAATTAATTTTTTGATATTATTAAGAAAAAAAAGAGAAACCTTACCGAGTATAAATGGCATGGTTCTGAGACCACCTTGCTGCCGCTTCTTCTCCTCTTCTCTTTCGTTTCCAGCCATGGTTTGTTTTTCTGCTTCCATGGATGGGAAGAAGAGGAGGTCTGCAAGTCTCTGAAAATAATTGGGTGGAGGGTACTGATGAGTAAAGAGGTCTACTGCTGCTATTTATGGCTGCCTTTGAAAGGTTAATCAATTAGAGCTCGTGTATTTCCACTCAAATTATGTTGGGAAGGTTTACATACATGTCACTCGATTATTATCTATTTACATATCTCAAATCTTAACTTTTATACTTACACTTATAAATCTCGAAGCATATTACCACCGAAATATTATATGTATAAACATCAAACTTAAGTGTTAGATATGCAAATAAATAAGAATTGTGTGGCATGTGTGTAAATTTTCCATTTATTTATTGATTCATGATTGATGCGAGCTAGAAAACTCACGGCGGTAGAGTAATGGATTATTGTCTTAGCGTTGCACAAGAATTCAACACACACTCAGATGAAAATGAATCAAGCTGTGATAATACCAGAAGTTTTTACGTGGAAACTCGTACCACGGGGCCTGCCCAATTGTAAAAATCCACTATAAGTTGATAAGTTGATGATTATAGATGCCCCTTGTCGCACAGACGAGAAAGAGTAACTAGCTTTCCACGTTACAACGTCGACTAATGACGTCTATAAGCGGTGGTTGACGGAGGTTGGCAGTGATCGACGGTAATCGACGACAATCAATGACGGTCTGCGATGGTCGACAGAGGTCACGATGGCTGACGATGGACGGTGGTGGTCGACGGAGGTCAGCGGTGACTGGCGATGATCAACGGTGTCCGGCGATGGTCGACAGAGGTCGGCGGTGGTTGTCAACGGTCAGTGGTAGTCGACGACGATTGACGATGACGAGGATGATCTTAGACTTGAGCTCCTTCTCAAAGTCTTAAGTTATCTCTTAAACCTCCCTTCCTTCATGTGAGGGGTGAGACTCTATTTATAATGTTTTGGGTGCAATTACTGCAAGAATATGAACCATTTTGATCGGACGGTCCAGAGAGCTTCCTTCGATCGAATGACGTTTGATGGACATTTGAGTGTCTTAATGATGTCGGAATTGAGCAATCTTGGTCTCGTTGGATTCGTCATGTCGAGACTCTCGATTCGACAATGAACTCGCTAGATTCGACATTTGTTTGACCTTTCAAATGCCTCCAGAAATCCTCTAATAGTGGTTTAATGATTTTATTCGGGCTTGATTTGACTCGGATTGGACTGACTTTCATATCATTAGGTTCGTCTCATCGAGCCGATCAATTTGATTATAAGTTTGTTGAAATTGCTGATGGAAATTTACTATCAATAATATTATTTTTTTAGTTATATCAAATTAATCAGCAAAAGAGAAAAGGAGGCTGATGGAAATTTGCTACTGGCGTATCAATAATATTATTTTTTTAGTTATATCAAATTATGCTGATGGAAATTTACTATCAATAATATTATTTTTTTAGTTATATCAAATTAATCAGCAAAAGAGAAAAGGATGAATCTTGAGGATACATTGACAGGTCAAGATACATACTACATAAATCTTTATGTACTTATATAACTAACATTTAAATTTTCATAATAATAGTAATGATAATAATAAACATCTATATTTTCACATTTAAATATTGATCAAGATATTCAACTTTATTCAATTATTTTTTTTCCAAATTTGTATTTTAATTTGACAACCAATACTAAATTAACAAAAAGGCAAAAGGTCATGGTATCAAAACTACTAAAGACGTGTTTAGGATGAGTTTCAAAAAACCTTGGAATTTGCACTGAGGTTATTTATGTAAATGTATTTATTTGGAAATAAATTCGAACCTTAAAGCTTATCATGACTAAAAGTTTGAGAAGGATATCCACTGTAACAAATAAGTTTCATATTAAAAAAGTGTTATGGTATGACATATATCATATATGGACAGACGCTGGAACGAAGCGGAGCGGAGCGAAATAATCTGTCCAAATTGGGAAGTTACGTTATATGGGTTGGGGCTATACGGTACATGGGTAATTTGAGAATTACATATTGTACTGCAGGGCTTACTCTAGGATTATAAATATACATGTTTGTATTCCTAGGTCTTTGAGAGAGCTGAATATTCTATTCAGTAATCTTTTCTGAATATTGAAAAGAAACTCGCCGCTCTGCTCCCGAGGACATAGGCATCTTTGCCGAACCTCGTTAAATCTCTGTGTTCTTCTGGATTTGTGTCGATTACTGTTTTCTTCGCCCTAATTTTCTCAACAAAAAGGATCATTTAGATACCACACAATTCTTATGTACATATCTAACACCTATACTTTGTTTTTTTACATTTTTGCCACCAAAGTTTACTAATAGGAAAGATGTTATATATAAAAAAAGGGGCAATTACATGTACAACACCATCTTTCATCCATTTTTTTAAATTGTCAATCTAATATCGAAATTCATGATAAAACCCCAACCCGTATTTTTCATTTTAATCAAATTCTAGATAGTTTGATGGAAGCACTCGCAAATACATCGGTTCCGTAGTTAAATAATATTACCTCGGTGTCAGATTTTGTAAATAGCAATGTTTCGAGTGCTATTTATGTAATAATCCCAAACAAAAATAAAGCTTTACAAATAAGATAGACGAAACGCAACAGTCGAAAAATAAAAAAACGTTTCATTTTAAGTGTATATCACTTTAGCTATGCTTGAAAAGGTGCCTTCAATTTTTAAAAGCTAAAATGATAATGCTTTTGAAGTGGTAAAAATGTAAAAACTAGCATTTAGGTGTTAGTTATGTAAATACATAAGAATTGCGTGGTATGTCTGTAAATGTCCCCAAAAAGTATTATGCTATCGAAAATTTTCAAATCTGATACCATAATTTATTTTTTCTTGTAATGGTTAAAGAACATTATTGACAAACTAAGGGCTATATATTTGGTCCCTGCTCGGAATCGCTGCCTTCAAATATATAGCCTTTATATATTTAACTCATGATGCTTCAAAGCTGACTTATTTTGGGAGAATATTAGGCGTGGAGGCTTTATGTTTGCAAACTTAAGTATAATCATGTTGTATATGGTTGTATTCATGAGTACAATCATGAATACAATCCTGTATAACATTGTCGAAACGAATATTTTTTCACCTATTCTCACGGTAAATATTACATGTGGTCATACATACGTGCAGATTAAGGGTGCACACGTCGAGTCCATCCTGTCTGCATACACGGATCATCCACAATATCTTATCTATTCTCACGTCCAAGTTGGTTTTATTCAAACACTTGCTTAGCTAAAGCGGAGTAATCGAACCACTCGCCAATTCACAACTCGGCTATAGAAGCTTGAGAGCTCGTCTATTCGACAATTTGCCAGCTCGGACATGATCACGAGTGTGTGTGCATATGCGTGCGGGTCGTCAATTATATTGCATAGTAGGTATCATCATCATCCCAAATATATGATCCACAACTTTATGCTACACACTCTCTGTATTTTCTTCTTTTAAGCAATAAAAACCAGAGCTTCTTTCTCTCTATATCTGTTCCTATATTTTTCTGTAAGTGTTCTTTTCAGACCAAAATCACAAATCTTAATGGAAATCAGGTTATGTCCAGACTATATAATTGCCTTCTTGAATTTTGAAATAAATAAAATAATTTAATATTTTTTTAAATAATTTAGATAATTTAGTAATATTACATTTCTGCCCCCTTATAATAGAGACAAAATGGCCGATAACCTTACCCAAATAAATGCCGTGTAGTGACTATATGAAAAAAAAAATAAATAAAAATCAATGAAGAAATAATGTCTAATAATGTCAAGTCTTTTCTTGATGTGTAATGTTAACCGTGTAAATGTAAGAATATTAATTGTATTTCATATCCAATTATATAGCTATAAAATCATTGATTTTTTTTTTAATTTTAAAAATTAGGTTAGATCAATAATTCGCCTTACATGCCATATTTATGTACGAACTAAAATACCCATGTTGCACCTATGTGCTTTAGGGGTAGAGTATGTAAATAAATTGTGAGTCCATATCATGAATAAATGTTATACAGAATTACTATTTGTGACTGTGCTATTGCTCTCCTTTCTCTGTATGTTTGCAAACTTATGTATAATCATGTTGTACATGGTTGTATTCATGAGTATAACCATGAATACAATCATGTATAGCATGGTCAAAACTAATATTTTTTCCCCTATTCTCACGGTAAATATTACATGTGGTCATCCATACGTGCAGATTAAGGGTGCACACGCCGAGTCCATCCTGTCTGCATACACGGATCATCCACAATATCTTATCTATTCTCACGTCCAAGTTGGTTTTATTCAAACACTAGCTTAGCTAAAGCGGAGTAATCGAACCACTCGCCAATTCACAACTCGGCTATAGAAGCTTGAGAGCTCGTCTATTCGACAATTTGCTACCTCGAACATGATCACGAGTGTGCGTGCATATGCGTGCGTGTGGTCAATTATATTGCATAGTAGGTATCATCATCATCCCAAATATATGATCCATAACTTTATGCTACACACTCTCTGTATTTTCTTCTTTTAAGCAATAAAAACCAGAGCTTCTTTCTCTCTATATCTGTTCCTATATTTTTCTGTAAGTGTTCTTTTCAGACCAAAATCACATATCTTAATTGAAATCAGGTTATGTCCAGAGTATATAATTGCCTTCTTGAATTTTGAAATAAATAAAATAATTTAATATTTTTTTAAATAATTTAGATAATTTAGTAATATTACATTTCTGCCCCCTTGTAATAGAGACAAAATGGCCAATAACCTTACCCAAATAAATGCCGTGTAGTGACTATATGAAAAAAAAAATAAATAAAAATCAATGAAGAAATAATGTCTAATAATGTCAAGTCTTTTCTTGATGTGTAATGTTAACCGTGTAAATGTAAGAATATTAATTGTATTTCATATCCAATTATATAGCTTATAAAATCATTGATTTTTTTTTAATTTTAAAAATTAGGTTATATCAATAATTCACCTTACATGCCATATTTATGTACGGACTAAAATACCCATGTTGCACCTATGTACTTTAGGGGATAGAG